GTAATGATATTGGAGAGAGAAAGAATGGGAGGGGAATGAATAACCAGGTATTTGCCAACGAGAAATTTCAGGTGGTGAAACATGTAATCTAAAATGCTTCGATGTAGAAAATTACTTTTCCCATAAGAGAGTTCCAAACTGTTCATATTTAACTTGTGATGGACTGATGTTTTGAAGGAAGAAAACAACTTTTGTATCTTTAAGCCTTTAAATGTCACTGGATTTTGATTTCTGGGTTTTGAAAGGAGGAAAGGACATCAAAAATCCAAACAAAGCAAAAAATCCTCCACTTGCATTGACATTTCAGCATAAATTGTTGAAACTTTTTGGCTTTTTAAACTCAAAGCTATTATGAAACTTTGTGGGGAGGAGACATGTGGCCATACAGCCCATCAAATATTTTAAATCAAATTGGAAAAGAAAAATAAATGAAATAATTTTTCTTTTTAAAAATCTGATTTGTTTTGTCATTGATGATGTAGATGTGGCCAGGCTTTAGGAAGGATCTGAAGTGTTTCTGAGTTGAGAGCCTAGTAGGAGGCCAAAAAAAACCCCCAAAAAGCCTTTTCAGTTTTAAGCCAAGTACATTCCATATGGGAATTCCCATGAACCTGTAAACATGAAATCTCAACTTTCTGTCTTTGCAGCAGTGTTTGTGACAAAACTACCTTTTCAGTTGTAGGAGAGGATAATGCAGTGCTACAGGGTAAATTCTAATACTTTACTACAGAACTGGGTTTCTTTTGAAGCTGTGGAGGCTTGCATGGTTTGTAGGTGTTCTGTTGGTTTTGTTTATTTTTTAACTATTTGGTTTATGTTTTTTTAAAATAGCCTTTTAGAGGTGAATGTGGCTAGGACCTGTGATAAGAAAATCTTATGAAAAGTGCACTAAAATGAAGAGGCGAATGAGGAGACTGTACACAATGATTTAATGCTGTCTATTTATTTCTTAGAACAAAAGACATTTATTTGAATCTATCTTCTTTATTCATTTGACAGCTCTCTGGTGCTCCTTTGCTAATGTAGCTCAGTGGTACTATTGCTACAGATTATTGCACCTATAAAACTGATCTGTGCTGATTTAGGGAGATGCACTTTGGTAATTTACAATGAAAATTTATGTTTGTCGAGAAAAATAAAAGGTTTCATTGAAAGCTAATGTTAATAAAAATGCCATTTATGTGGCATGGGTTTTTTTTCTTTTTTCTTTTTTTTTTTTTTTTTTGGTTTGGTTTTTTTTTTTTTTTTTTTTTTTCTCCAGTGGTGGATTATTAACTAATTCAGCTGTGTACAAGACAGATCTCTGTTGTGATCTCTTTGCTCAGGCCACCTGTATCTCCATCCCTGTGTGGGCATGTTGTAGCATTGTGAGAGGTGTGCTGCCTCATTACTGTACAGTTCAGTACTCCACATCACAGCTGCCTTTGTGCCTGGCTACCCTGGCACAGAAGAAGAGGAATATGTCACCATCTTAACTCATCCACCTGCACATAACCCATGTGAAAGCAATACCATAGAAGGTGTGTGCATTTACCCAGTGACATACCTGGAATTTTGACCTGGCTAGCAGGAACTGAGGTTCTCAGTTACAAATCCTACCCTAGTTTTTATTATATTAGCCCCATCAGAGGGCATGACTTTTTAGTGGATTTTTGCTATAATATGGTGTCACTTTCCTTCCTCCCTACTTTTGTATTTGAGTTCCTTTAAGGGTCCTACACCCTTTCCAACAAATCTGAGTGACTCTTCACTGCTGCTGTGGGTTGTGTACCAAAAACATTATGGCAAGCACAGGTATGACATCTCCTCTCCTTGTTCCTCCTGCCTGTAGCTTGTGCTGTTTATTCCCTGGGGTAAATCCCCTTGAAGTGTTCAGAGCTAGATATGTTTCCTGCTCATGTACTGAAGATCTCAGGCCATATATTGTAGTTCATGTTCTTGCAAGGCGGCGTCTCTGTATCATCTTCTTTCTGTTTGCTGCCTCACTGGTTTCTGGTGTTCTGCCTACCTGGAGTTCATTCAGAACAGCCCTGTATGTGTCCTCACTGTCCCCAAAGCTCCTGCTTTAAAGGAGATGCACCATGTCCCAGACAGCTCTCTTCCTCTGCATCCATTCTTAAGGAACTATCTGAAGGTTAGTCTGATTTTCAGCCTGTTTTGTTTGGTCTGGTGCTTACCATTCATTGTTCACTGGATTTTGAAGGTCAGGAAAATGTACATAGCATAAACTAACTCATCTCAAGGATGTTTTCAAGGATTTACCATTGGCAGTAAACAGTCCTGCCTGCCTTTCCTCTCCCCACTAAACCTAGAGAAAAAAGCAACTGAAAGGAATATTTTATACATGCATGTATATACAAAAAAATATAGAATGTAGAAAGACCAAATGTAATTTCTTTTTAAATAAAGGCTGCCATTTAATTTAATATTATAGAAAATGATTAGATCTTAAACCCTTATAAATTACATTTGACAACTCTCTGGTGCTCCGTTGCTATTCCTTATGGCAATTATAAATGGCAACACAGGATGCTGGCAGAAACGCTCATTCTAACTGGAGTTTGTTTATTGTCTCTTAATGAAAAGTGATTAATCTAAATCACTACTGGGGTAGATCCTTCGTCCTGGTCCCTTAATGAGAAGTGGTAGTTTCAGGCCTTTGACAAATGTCCTGCTATTTCCCCTGCCAAAAGTTCCCTCCCTGTATAGCTTCCAGGAGAAGAGTAGACACAGTACAAAAAGAAAAGCCCAGAGTCTGTCACTTTTCCTTTTCTGTGTGCCATGTAACAAACGTGTGCCAGTCCAAGCTGTGTGGCTGGTGGTGGGGTTTTGTTTTTAACTCTGATTGAGCTTCCTGCTTTTTCAATCCTGCTGTATAGGACCAGCCTTTCCTGGGAGAATGGATGGCAGCAGAGATGTTGGGTGTTCATTTCTCCATTTGAAGAATGGAAAGTGAATGTGGGAACTGGGTGAACTGTGAACACGGGGCATGTTTTATGTGATGTCACCTCTAGATATGACTGTTGTTAGGTTCTTACACCTTTCCTAGCTTGGTGGTTTTATTATCTGATCTTACAAACACTGTTATGCATCCAGAAGAACAAATTGGTCAATTCGTGAATTATCTGGTGGAACTACTGCCTTTCTTGTCTCATATGACCATTTCTTGAACTATCCACCGAAGTGCTGCAGATCATGTGTGAAATGGCAGAGATGTTTTGTGTGTGTGCCACTTCCACTGTTCGCTGTCTTGTGCTTCACAGAACTCCAGCAGTGACCTTTTAATATACAGCATTGTTAACTTTGTAATCTTCTGTTACATCAGGTGGAAAATATTTTTATTCCTGAAGTATCCTTTATTTTAAATATAAGATCTCTCTGGATTGTCTTGTTAAATGTTATAGTTCTCTAGCACAGGAAATATGCTTTAGGTGAACAGGGGTACAAAATGTCTTTGCAGTCTAAGTCAAAAGTGACAGAAAAAGTATATTCAAACAGTTGTGAAATTGTTATTGTTTGGGATATAATGAAATTGCTATTTTGAGCTGATTAGAAAGAAGAAATGTACCAAAGCATCCTTCTGAGTACTTGTACTGTGGCTTCCCATGGGAATGGCTAGAGATTGATTTTGGGGATGGTAAGTGGTGTATGTGAGGGATGTTGAAGGTGCTTTGACATCAAGCTGGATTCATACAGATGGCTTCACTCTGGGAAAATGTTCACTTCTAGTTCAGCTTTTCATTTCTTAATGGAAAGGATCAGAAGCCATTTACGTTATACTTCCTTTCCCTTGGTGACTTCATGGAGTTAATGAGGTGCTTAAGATTAATCAAGCACTGAAATTTTTTGCTTGATGAAGGTCTAACATACCAAGGGTTTTACCATTCCTTGTAACTGATTTTTGCTGTCAAAATTAATGCATTTCCCTACTGTAGTCTTGAAGTTGGAGCTCTGTGAAGCTGGATAAGAGAAGTCAGTGTGGACAGAAACCCAAACTGCAGTGGATCTCAGCTAGATGATCATTCTGCAGTGAGCTAAAAAAGGCCATTCCTAGATCTGTTTTCCTGCTGAAAGACAGTTTCTATATTTGATTCAGCTGCTGTATCAACAACCTGCTGTGTTTAGAACAGCTCTAATTTATTTCCCACTGTTTGCCTTTATTTTATGGTACTGGTATTTGGTTTAATGTGAAGTCATTTTCTCCAGATGTTAATAAGATGGTGTTAATGTTTCCACAACATTTTTCTTCATAATGTTTATGTAGAGCTTGCCATCTGATAGTGCGGAATCAACCCATTTTAAAATATCAGTAATAATTTTCTAATTAAAATTAGAGGCTCAGAAGTGTTTTCCTCCTCCCTGTACAAATTGAGGTCATGCACTTTCCTGTGCTTGGGGAAAATTATGTTTTCATTGACTGAATGAATATCTCTTACTGTACAAATTGGGAGTGTGATATAGGAAATCATGTCAGTGTTTGCACATGTGCACGTGGACTATACCCAGATGCCAGCAGCTGATCCAGGAAGGCATTCTGTGTTTCCAGAGAGGTGATGCTCACATTCATAGCACTGCAAGCTGCCACATAATGAGCCTTAAATCTCAGGAATGCTCTGGTTTTTACTTTTGGAGAGAGGATTCCACATGGGGTGAGAGAGGTGGTAGAGAGAAAATAGTCCAGGAAAGACTGGTGTGGGTGCCTGAAGTTCCTATATCCAACCAAAATCAACTTTGATACATATTTTTTTTTTCTTGCTGGGCTTTCTGAATTTTTCTGGAAAAAATGAAAAAAAAAAAGGAATCGCCAAATAAATCAGCAAATGAATTGCCAATGAAAATGAAACTGAAATGCTAAAAACCCATCTTAATTCTAGGGGATGTTATACTCTTGAGTGATGTTCTGAATACATCTAATAGGGGTCAGTGCTGTATGACCTCACTCTTAAATGATGTTCACTTTCACTTTTCCATTAACACTTTCCCTCCATTTTTCTATTTAGATCATGCTTCTTAGTGATCCAGAGGTTGAGAGCAGCATCCTCATCAGCTCTGATGAAGGGGCTACCTATCAGAAGTACCGTTTGAACTTCTATATCCAGAGCTTGCTCTTCCACCCCAAGCAGGAGGAGTGGATCTTGGCCTACAGTCTGGATCAAAAGGTAAGCAATTGATTTAATGTTTCAATGATTTTGAGCCAGGAGTTGAAGGAGATATTGTCTAGAACTGCTCCCTTTCAGAGATGATGAAGAATTTATAGTGTGCTTTGCTGTTCTCACTTTGCAGGTTTAAATGTGCTCAAAAGCCATGCAGTGACTCCAAAGGCAGGTTGCTAAAAGGAGCTGAGTGTTAGAGTGATCATAATAGGTGTGGAAACTTCAGCAGTGGTGATACTATGAAAGATGAAAAGAATTAGAGATTTGACATGACATATGGAGCTGTTCTAAACATCTATTGATTTGTAGGCTCTGATTTCTGCTCTGTGTTTGAGGATGGAGCACTCAGGCTGAGCTGGTCTGTAGCAGCTGGCTGTTGAGCATTGAGGGGTGCTCATTCTGCTTGCCAACTGGAAGTCAGGGAGCAGCAACAGATGACAAACTCCTCTGTGCCACTTCTAAGCCTCGTTGCAGTGTCTTCTGTGAGTGAGCCATCTCCAATCTGTTACTTTGTCCTTAGCAAGTTTGCTCTTACACAGCACTCATCTGTCTTGAAAGGTGCTGAGCAGAGCAGGTGCAGTGGGTGGTAAAGTGCTGTGGCTAAGGAGATGTGTACTTCAGTTCTGGAGCACCCCACTACAGCCCAAAACTGAGACATACACAGGATGATCAGTTAAAAAGTTTAAAACTTGCCGAACTTTTATCTTTCCTCTCTTATGTTTCTGTCATCCTGGAAAGCAAAAACATGCTGAATAACCACTGAGATTCCCTCACTGTGGTGGGTTGACCCTGGCTAGATGCCAGGTGTCCATCAAGGCCACTTGGTCACTCCCCTCCTCAGCAGGACAGGGACAGAATATATAATGAAAGGCTTGTGGGTCAAAATAAAGGCAGGGAGAGATCACTCAGCAATTACCATCAAGGGAAAAATCACACTCCACTGGGGAAATTAGTTAAATTTATTACCTATCAATTCTATATTGTATTTTACTTTATCCTACCCTACTCTATCAAATAAGAGTAGAGTAATGAGAAGTAAAAACTAAATCTTAAAATACCTTTCTATCACCCCTCCCTTCTTCCCAGGCTCAACTTCACTCACAATTTCCCTTTTTGTCCTGCATCCAACAGCAGAGTGGGACAGGACATGGGGGATGAAGTCAGTTCATCACATGTTGTCTCTGCCTCTTCTTCCCCCTCGGGGGAGGACTCCTCATGCCCTTTCCATGCTCCACCATGGTACCCCTCCCACAGGAGACAGCTCTCCACAAACATTTCCAGTGGGAGTCCTTTCCACAGACTGCAGTTCTTCATGAGCTGCCCCAGAGTGGATCTTCTCATAGGATGAAGATTTAAGGAACAGACTCTTCCACTATGGGTCCCCCGTGGGCTCACCTTCACTGTCCTTCCATGGGTCAAGGGGTCAGCCTGCCTCAGCATGGCCCTCACTGTGAGCTGCAGGGGAAATCTCTGCTCCAGCACCTGGAACATCTCCTCCCCTCCTTTTCCACTGACCTCAGTGTCTGCAGCGCTATTTCTCTCACATATTCTCACTCCTCTCTGGCTGAAGTTGTCAATTTGTTTCTTCCCTCACTTCATGGATATGTTATCCCAGAGGTGCTGCCACTGTCACTGATGGGTTTCACCTGGGCCAGCAGCAGGTCCATCTCAGAGCTGGCTGAGAGTTTGCTTTCTTGGCAGCTTCTTGCAGTTTTCCATGGAAGCTGCCCCTGTAGCCCCTTCCCTGCTGTGAAAACCTTTCCACCCAAACCACTGCATTAACCTGTCAGGTGTGGGGGTGTATTCTGGGTGGGATTTTCAATTTCTGTAGTTATTCTTGAAGATTTCTAAACTAGTCAGTCTCACATCTCAGCTATAGGAACAATATCGTGAAAATGCTGTGCCTCTATTTGAGAATTTCCTTTCAAAGTCTAGTGCAAATTTTTACTCAACTAGTTACTGAGAATATAACCAAATAATTACCTATTGCTCTGCTTCCCACTTGCTAAAAGAATACCGTGGCAGGCACCAGGTGTTTTGCTGCTGTGCTACTGATGATTCTTGAGTGACATTTGCAAGAACAAAGGTATTGTAAATACACTCCTTTCATAGTATCAAGTCCTTACTGTATGAAGGAGTTAGTCAAATGTCAAATACTTTTATGCATTCAGAGGATCAGTGTAACAGGGATTTTGAAGTAGGCTGGAAACACCATTCTATTTATTTGATGTCACAAAATGGCTTGATGTCACTTTTAAACTGGAGGTAATGATTTTGCATGATGCTAGTTCTTATACAGACAGGCTTGGAAGAAACAGGCATCTGATGAGGTGATCATGTGTGAGAAGCCAGATGAGACATCCTGAGTGTGCATTTGCAAAGAGAACCATCTGCAGTGAGTGCAGAGCATCTGCTCTTGGGTTGAAGCACTGTACTTTTACTAGCAGAACTTTGCAATCTTTTTTTGAGGTTAGTCACTGGAAGGAGAAATCAAAATACAGGGAAGGCACATGTGATTGGCTGTGAGGTGGTACTAATGCTCCCCTGATCCAGTACAGCAATAGCAGGCCAGGAGCATTTTTGCTTCTTCAAACTAATGCATGTGTGCATACCTCAGCTGCTGTCTTCTGCCCAGGAGAAAGACAATAAAAATGAACTGAGCTAGAAACACTCTGAAGCTATTTGCATTTTATCCCAGAAACCAAATAAAATAGTTCCAAGTGTAAGAACAAAGATGAGTTGGTCCATAGCTTGTTGTCCAAATGGAAATGGAACAATGCCAAGTTCAGGCTTTTCCTTTATGTCTGCCTTTGCAATCAGGGCCACTCATGATGCTTTCCTTCACTGGTCAGAAGGATGGCCTGTAGTGCTGGTTCAGTGTGGGTCCTAGAATGGAGCCATGGAGCAGTGCTTTTCCCAGCTGAAATGCTTGGTTAACATGGCTGAGGTATAGATTGTGCTGAGCCATGTCTTGGGTTAGTTAGTCGGAGCTGTGAAAGAACTGTCACTCTGACTCGGGATCACACAGCTTCACTGCAGTCACAGCTGATACTGAGATAATGGGCAGTGCTGTTAGAGTGTGACAGCAATACCATGTGAAATCCCCAGATGAAGTCTTCTGAGAGGCCACTGTAAGGCATCCCTGCATGTCTGGAAACAGAGGCACTGCCACAGTCGAGTGGGAACCAGAGATCAGCCCTGTCCTTCTCTTAGGTTAGGCCAGTACAAGAATAAAGTGTTTTTTAGGCTTTAAGTCTCGTATACTTAAGAATATTCATCATGTCTTTTGCATCTTCATAAGATTGTTGTGGTTGTTCTCTCTTTTTGTCCAGAAGCCAGATCTGGATGCACACCTTCCCAGTCTACTGTGCCATTCTCTCCTAGATATGGTTATGGCATCATGACAATGGCAATGACCGTTTCAGCTCTCTGCTGCTCACCAGAAAAGGGACAGCAAGAGCTTCTAAAATAAGTGTCTAGAGAGGCTGCAGCAGTGCTCTGCAGTTGTGAGGAGGCTATCCAAAGGGATGCTATGCTGGAAGGGGCTAATTGTCCAACTGCAGCCTAGTTCTGCTCATACTCCTCTGTCCTTTGTTTTTGTGCCCATTTTCCTGAAAAGCAACATGAAGTTGCCTGGCACAAAACAGGTGGAGCTGTATCAAACAGTGCTTGCTTTCTCAGTTCATATGTCCATTTTTGAGGGATAAAACTGCTCTGAAACACTTCTGATTTGATGAATGAGAGGGCATAAAATAGAAAGTTTATCATTAGCCTGTAACCTGAGGGTAATATTCATCCACAGATACTGTGACAAGGAAGGTGACTTGCTGTATGCTCTGCAGTGCAGCCACTGCTACAGTGGGACACCATGTTCTTTCACCTCTCTTAAGTTTTAAAATTCGGTTTGACCCTTAAATTCTATTTTAATGACTCCTTTAGGGGCAGATTTAAAAATGCAAATAACTCTGAAAACAAATCAAGTACATACAATTTGACTTCCAGCAGCAGAAATTATTAAGGGAAGATCTAATCCATCCTCTTATAACTGTGAATGTGTAAACAAGTTGGAAAAATTAATTTCATATCTTAGATTAAATATATATATTTCAGATTAATATTTTTCTTATTAGTTTTCTTTCAATTAAAAATAATAATAATGCAGTATTTTAAGCAAGCTGTTGTCAACTTGGAAATTAATGAAAATGATGAATCTGAAAATCCATTTTGCTTAGTATGTTGTTCCACGCAGTAAAATGAAATGAAATTAGGACAGTTCATATCCCTACAAATAATGGATTTGATAACCACCTAGATCAAAAGATTTTAGAATTGTTTTGTTTATAAAAATAGAAAATAATATTAAAGTTTTGGAATGAAATACAAATAGTCAGTGTTTTAGATCTTCCCATTAAATAGTTTTCCTCTAAAGTCTTCTGACCTACAGTTCCATGGCTGTGATTCAAGCCTTTTTTTTAATGACTGTTTCATCTTAAATATCCCTCCTTGTTTTTAGCTAATTTCTGCACAGTTGACAATAATGTTAAGGTATTTATCTAGTTGATTAAAGAAATGACCAAGCAGCTAAAAAAACCCAACACATTTTGAATGTCCTCTTAACAGAATTATTGTCCTTTCCAAGCTGATGTTTTAGAAAGTCTATTCCATATTCTATGACCTTCTTTAAGAAGAGCCCATCTCTACTCCACAGAACTGTTCCTTGAAATATGTCTTCATACTGAGAAAGCCAAAGACTCTGTGGTGTTACTACTTCCATGAACTGAAATAATTGAATATAAAAACAGTTCAGTCACCAATTCTTTTATTACCACTCCCACATAGGTATTATTCTGCTTTTTCCTGCTTAGGGCAATTCCCAGAAGACAACTGAGTGAGATGGAGTTCGGCAGGCTTTCTGAAAGATCTATGGCTGTGTGGCTGCTGGTTACTTCCTTGATTTAAGGACAAATCACAGTTACCACCATTTGTTCTCTCTTTGTAGTATCCAA